TCTTAAGTTCAATGACAAATTTGAATAAAGGTTATGAATAACTTATGTCCTAATTTATTGTATGTCAAACTATACATTTTGCAGTTTTTTACTAGACTCACTTTAAATCCATTTTCTTAAGTTTTGATTAACCTCTTGCGAGCATATACTTTGTATTGCTAGTATCCTCGTCCGAAATGAAACCTTTTATGACCTTGCTGATTTCAATTATTCTCCAAATTTGCATAGGCAAAAAGCAAGTATTTGCAAGATTTGAGCTTTTTTTTATCACCTGTGCATAATATTTATTAGTAATCATATCGATTCCCTCTCTAATCCTTTATTCTATCTCTAATTCAGCAAATGCAATCAGTTAATATTCCGCCTTTCAGTTGATCCTATATCTTTAGCATGCAAGAATAACTATGCTTTAAGTTACTTGAATTTATGCTGCTACTTCCTCTACTTTGCCAAAATACCTCTACACACAGTCGCTGCATGGTACGAACTAGACTCCCAAACTTTAATGCTTTCACCGTGCCTACATAAATATTCTAATAGCCTAATACATTTTTAAAATATCAGTCATAATTAAAAATATGTCTAAACAATTACCTCTCATTTCTATAGATAGATAATCTGCTGTATGCCTACGATGAATTAAAAAACTCAGGTCAAAATGGTAGCTTATTATAACCAATGTATAGTCTAGGACTAGACTATATAGTAAAAATCACGGACAAAAGGGCATCAAGTTAAACAGGTATTACTATATTGTTTAAATTCTGTTTAGCGAAAAACCTAAAAACCTGCAGTAGTAGCACAAAGTTCAGAGAAACATTTCTGCCAAATTTGGAGACATGGAACCTTACTGAAGAGGTCTTAACTTCAGATATAAATGATTAAATCTTGAGGGAGGCAAGGTTATATGAAAACTAAGCTATTAATTTCAATAGCTGAGGATGATATGCTAGTAAGCTTTGATGTTGTGTTTATGTACACAAAAATTCCTGTGAAAGGAGCTATTTAAGCTCTGATACAAACTCTAAAAGAACATACAGAGATAACACAAGGAATAAGGCCGATAGTGGCTTCCATTATTAAACTTATTAATCTATGCAGGAGTACCACATATTTCACCTTTGACGGTAAGTTATACGAACAAGCGCAAGGGTTAGCGATGGGATCTTGCCTGTCTACCATCTTAGCAAATAATTATATGGCAAAATTAAAGGAACACTTCCTACAAGAGGCAATATTAACACCTAAATTGTGGGTTAGATACATGGATGACTATTTCGTCATCTGGCGTCATGGTAAGGCGAATTTAGACAATTTTCTATTTTCACTCAACCAGTGTGAAAGGAACATTAAGTTCACGATGGAAATAGAAGAGAATAAGTCCTTACTTTTTCTGAACGTTCTTATCATTAGAGAAGAGAGTAGGTTAGGAAGAGATGTTTATAGGAAGCTAACATATGTTGACTTTTTGCTTAATTTTCTTTCCAACCATAATTACAAGGCTAAGGTTGGCATATTGAAGTCATTGATTTTTAGAAGTATGAAATTAGCGGATAGCAACCATTTGACTAAAGAGTTGGAACGGCTGACAAATATATTCCTAGAAAATAATTATCCTTTAGGCCTTATTGAAAATAATATCTCTTTACTAAGGAATAAATTTTCAGACGGAAATAATTTAGTCAAAGAGAGACAGACTGAGACATTTTCCTATGTCCTTATTTTACTGTCATGCTTTCTCTCAAAAAAGATAAGCGACTTAGTGAAAAAGTGAGCATAAAAACAGTACTCAAAGAAACCCTCACACTTTCTTAAGATATGCCATCATTTAGAGAGAAAGATGACCCCTTATCGAGATCCAGATGCTACAAAATTGTTTGCTCATGTGGTTC